GTCACCACTGCTCTTCAACAAACTGCGCAGTAGCAACAGGTGAGTTAAAAGGAAGGCTGGGATGTCCACATGTATTCCACAGCCAAGATTCCCCAGACACTAAGAAAAGCTCGCATCATGTGAAAAAGAAAACCTCTTAGCACATGTCCACTGCTTTAAAAGACTTCATAAACAAAGACACAACAGAAGATTTACAGGATAATTCCAATTACATAAGACTCAAAAAAACAAAAACGAAAATGAAAACAAAATCCACCCAGACAAAACTAAGCTAATTTGTTCAGAATTGAACACACAGGGTAGTAAAGTTATTTTTAAAAAGAAGTTATAATTGTGATGACCTCTTGGAGTTGGGAGGAATTGTGATTGAGAGAGAATACATGAAGGAGGTGATTTGCTATTTCTTGACCTAGTGATGATAACAAGGTTATTTTTTAACTATAAACTACATATACATTTTGTGCACATTTATGTATATATGGTATATTTCATAACAGAAACTGTTGAGAAAGAGACAAAGAGAGTCAAACGGTGACAGAGAGGCAAAGACTAACCCCCAGACCTAATAAATACATTCCTTAGCACAGTATAGGCATTCCATAAATGCTGAAGAGAATGAATATTCATTCAGTGGCAAAAGGACAGTAGTGAGTTTCCTCTGATTATTTTCTAAATATATTTCAGTTTATGTTTACAGACTTCTTTGCAAATACATTGGTGAAATATTAAGAGTTCGAAAAGATCATATAAATAGGAACAAACAGAGAACTATAAGAATAGAGGTCCTATTTTATTTAGGGTAAATAAACATTCTTCCAACAGGTAGTGAACTTGCATTGTTAGGATTAAAACATATCCTGTATACAACACCCTGAAATTCAAACAATCTATAGAATTTTTTTAAAAAAGCAGAAAAGGCAAGATTAATAAAGCAAACTGGTAGAAATAATTCCTTAGAATTTAGCAGAACATACAATATTAAGGAGGCACAGCGGGGTACAAATGGAGAAAGTAAAACAATTTTCAGACTCTGCTTTTAAAATTAAGTGTCCATGGTTGAAGTGGGTTTTTTTGGGGGGTGGGGGAAAGGAGATGGGGGATATGAATTCATTAAAAAAGTAAAAGAGAGAGGCTATTTTATAAGACAAACTGATCTTGCTGAGCAAGACTATTGTTCCAATAAACCCAAAATGCAATTCATAGATATACTAAATATAAACAGTCACTGAATAAACATTAACATATGTAGAGCTAAAACAGACATAGAAACAATCCCTGGTAAGACTGGTTTTATATATTTGTGTACATGCAGAAGTGCTAAATCTGGATCTAATTTCTTCATGACAAAACCCAGTTTTCTGCAACATCCTCAAAACTGAGCAGAACCAAACTATACCGAGAGGGTTTGAATCCCTCACATGCTGACGGAGAATTTCTTTTTATCTTATGGCATGTTTTTAAAAATCTTCACAGGAACAGATCTAAGAACCCTAGGAGTAGAAGGCCATGCAGACAATAGGGAAGGAAGGGAGGGAGGAAGGAAGAGAAATCTGCCTTTCCAAACAAAGCCATGTGTAGGCTCCAAGAGATAAACGACCAAGTAAAATAATCCTTCCAGAAGAGGGCAGAGAAACAAGGGTGGGAGGCTGGAAGGAAGGAGGATATAATCATACCTTCCCTTCACAAACTGTAATTAGAAGAAATACAAACTGGCCAGACCTCTCTCAGGAGATCTATTGGGCTCACCTGCGCATGTTTTATTAATCAGGCTCCTCCCAGTCTCTCTCCCTCTCCTCTCTTCCTCCTTCCTTCTCTCCTACAAGCAAAAAGCTAAAGTAAAATGAATTTCCACAGCAAAACAGTTGCAGATGTTCTACCTCGGAATACACTCCTGGATCTAATGCTAGTCACTTGATATGCAGGGCTGGGGACCAGAGGCTGGTACAAAATGGCTCTGCTCTGTGGCCTTTTCACCTTAATAGTACCCACTGCTCCTAAGTTTCCGGAAGCCTCTGAGCTCATTAGACAAAGAACAATGAAACCAGAACTCCATTAAACTGCTAGTGGTTAGACTGGCAGAAAACAAAAGAAATCAGTCACCCAGCCTTGCTAATATCCTAGCAGGGTCTCACTTAACTCAACAACTCTTATTGTGTCCATTTTCCTTTCAATTCCAGAAAATTAATTTATATGTAGCCTGTGATGAAACAAGTGATAATTATGTTCTAAAACAATGAGCAGCTCTAAAATCTGAGGAACTTTAGAATATTCTTTTCTTAAGCTTTCGGATGATCATAATATGTAATTTATTTTTACTTTCTCTCAATATAAATCATACTATTAAATTAAAAAGGGGAGAATTCTTCTACCAAATTACACACTAATGACTCTTAACCCATAATTAAAGTATCACTAACAGTGGCTTAAAGCCACAGCCAACCATGAGCACATTTATTAGGATCTAAGTTTTCAGCATTATGTCAATACAACCATCAGCCATCTTGAGAAAAGCCCTGGTCTAACCAGCTCCTGTTCCCTTGGGGAAACACTCTCTATAAACTAGCATTACATAGGGCTTCCTCCTCTGCACAATCAGAAAAAAAGTAAAGCAAATCTGAATGCCAAAGCATCAAGGACAGCAAATGCCAATGTGGCTGGTCACCTAGAGTTCTCAGTATGTCTAACATCACAACAGCCTAGGAATCTACACCAGCAACTGGCTTCAGAGCAATGAAGAGTCAGGACAGGTTTGACTGCGCATTGTAATCCAAAATGCTGTCCCTGTGCTGGGGGCGCGGATGGTCCCTTGGATAGAGCATGGTCCCTAACATCGATGAGCTAATAATTAATTAAGGAGACGAGACATTAAATAATTTTGCAGAGGCAGTATGGCATAGAAGAATGATAGACTAGTCAAAACCATTAAATGGGTTCTCACCACTATTCAATTGTTATAAACTTTCTGAATAAACTTGAATCTCTCTGGGCCTCAGTTTTCCTTGGCAAAAAGGCAAATGTATTAGGTGATGTCTAGGCCCAATATAGCTCTACGAATTAGATAATTAGAGAATATAGAATAGTATATAATCAAGTGCTAAATTATAGAGTAGCAACTACAACTGCCATTGGAGAGATTTCACTGATTTCTTGGGTCAGCCACTTCCTAAAAGCCAAATTAGGCACCATGCCAGGACTACGGGATACAGCAGTACCAAGACAACACTCTGCCTTCATAAGGCTTTCAATCTCCTAGCAGAGTATTCATAAGCGTTCAGAGGGTAGGCTGGGGTTGGCCTATATATAACCTTTTTGTGGAGATGGAGGAAAATCTGGGAGTCAAGTGGGTATAATTTAAACATTCAGTTAGGTGACGAATGATGAACTAGTTAACTGTTGAGGATTGTAGTAATAAACCATGAGGTTTTCAAACAAACACACTAACGCAAGCAGAATTCTGCTAATCTGCTCACCACCAATGAAAGTAATCAGTTTCCAGAAATTAGCCGGATTTAGACTCTGCCTGCCCTTTTCACCTTATCTTACCCCAATGGGACCCCACTCCAAGACTACTATTTGTGGTTTTCTCCTTTATTCTCTTTTCAATTACTCTTCTAGACTATGGTAAAAGTCAGGTGCCAGAGAGCAGTCACCAAGCAGAGTTCATATCGAAGCCATGCAAAGTCAATGTGGGATTTTAGGAAGACTTTGTATGCTACAAGATAATTGGCTAAAAAAAGGATCCATTTGCGTATAAATTACTAGGGAAGTTGAAGAAAGATGGTGCAGACTCATGGTTTCTTTTGATGAGTAGATCTGTGTGTAATAAAACTAAAGAGTATGGTATAACTAACCTAGAGAATAAAAATAACCATTAACAGCTTAATTTTTAAAACTAAAAATTCAAAAAATTAATCTGCTCCTTATTCTTCAGAGGCATGAAACCTGCCTGTGCCCTAAGTGAAATCAAATGCTGCCTACCAACTGTACATTCCATCTTCCAAATAACTTCCCTGGAATGCTGGTGAGCTGTTATGTTTAATATGAACATTCTTAAAGTGTTGGATTTAAAGGAACAATAACTATTCCAACTTTTTTAACAACAAAAAAAAAATCCCAACTAAGATTTATGCCCATTTTCAAACACCCTTTTGAGTTTAGAGCAGATGTGTGCAGTGTTTACACTGAGAAAACCACTAGGACATAAACAACCCACTATAAACACCACTCAAATTCTGCTGTGCTTTTCTTCATTTCCTGTGTATTTATTTTGGTGTTAAAATAATGTTAACTTTCATAATAAGGAAAATAGCAGCAGATGTTTAAACCAAACAAACTATAGCATATCAACCCCGTGTATCTACTCAACTTTCAAAATCAAAGTTTTCTTCCTCCCAAATAAGGAAGGAGGCTAGATTACTCTCGTATTTTGCATACTACACAACAATAATCAACCTGAAGCTTTCCATAAGCATTTTCTCACCACCACCAACTGGAGACATGAAAAATTAATGTGTATCAATTTCCTAACAATCTTTATATTCCTCTTAGGCTGATCGTTATATTTTGTTTTGAAAATATCATATTACTCGATGATAAACAGAAATGGTCTTAAAAGTTTTTAACATTTTGCTCACTAAAAAAAGTTTAAAAAAACTAACTGCAGTAAGTTAATTTCACAGGAAACAAGCCCAGTCACTTGCTGCTTAGACCACTCTAAAGAAGTCTGCCTTTTAAATGGGTAACTTCAGAAGCAAGAGGATACTTAACAGCAGCAGATTCAAAGAAAGCAATTCACCAAAATTCTCATTAGTGAAACTAAGTAAAAAAACAAAAACAACTTTAAAAAAAAACCTTAAGTATGAAATCCTTATCCATAGAGTTAAAAAATAAAAACCGGCATGAATGAGATTTTTTTCCTTGAAGGGGAAAGGGTAAGGTTTCAAGTGATTAGGCAAGAGGCCTGAGATTTTTACATGAAAAATACAAGTGGATCGCCTTACCCTCCTCCCAAGTTTCTTCAATGTTTTCTTTTTCAAGAGAAACATTCAGTTCACTATAGGAGAAAACATGGAAACTGCTCCTGTTGAATCAGAAAGGCTGCGATCTCTTCGATCTGTATGTGGTTACAACAAAAAACACTCCCCCTGCCAAGCTGAATTCCCGGGGAGCTCCAGCCACTCAAACCCAAGCCATTACCACTTTTTCAAATCGCACGTAGATAATGTTCCAACAGATTAAGAAATCACTTTTTCTCTTCTTACTACCAACCAAGACAGCTGGAAATACTACAGGGCAGTAGGGAAACACCTCATGGTTTATTAAGCGGTAATGAGTAGTAAGAATTTTTTTTTTTTTAATTTAGCTTTCTTGTTGTGGTATTGTGCAATCACTTCCATAAGGGACGGGAGTTTGGAGGGAACATCCTTCAATGTCAGAACTCTCTCCGAGCTGTACAGGAAATGGGAAATCAGACAAAGAACCAGTCTGTGCTCTGTGACATGGGTGCCTGCCCCTCCAGTCCACCAAACTGAATAGAAAAATTCTGCAGTGTTTGGGACAATCGCTCCCAAAATATAAACTCACTGTAACTTTCTGTTCTCCTCTACATGAAAATCCAAATCCAAAGTTGGAATACAACACAAATACTGTAGATGGTGCTTTTAAAATACATATCAATGTGAAACGAAACAAACAAAAAAAACTTGACACATTTAAATTCTACTTGGGTCCTAAAAGTTCATCCTTTAAAGAAATCAACAGAAATAAAAAAGAATTACCTTTTAAAGAGTTAAAATTTTTAACAGTATGTTGCTAGCATAAAGCAAACTTTTAACAGTTTATATTTCACCTTCTCTCCATCCCCAGCCCTCTCTACCTTAACCCTAAAGACTAGGAAGGAAACAAGCTTTGTGTTGAAAACAGTATACAATAATCAGTCATCTTTCAAAAAACCCTAAAGTCCCAAGAAAGAGAACAAAATACACAAAAGACATTCAAAACCCTACAGGAAGGCTGGCTTTGACAAAAGCAATAGGATAGCAATTTCTAGAACAGAACCTCTACCTTCATAGCACAGAATGCCGATATTGTTGTTCATCTTGTCCAAGTACTGGTAGTTCAACAGGTCCATCTTCATAAATAGCATTTATTGGGCTAGCACAGAAAACCAGCTCTTTGCTTTCACCCCAAAAGATTATGCTTCAAAAATCAATTACTGCTGAGTAGCTCCTGGCTCTTCTCTTAAACTTCACAAGGACGGAGGCCCAGCCTCAGATGATCAAAACAAAGTACGTAAAAGAAAAAAAGAAAAAGTACACACGCACAAAAAAAAACTGAACTCACACAAAACCCTTCAAGGGTTTAGCTGTAGATGGTATACGTTTTGTATCCTCAATCGAGCATTTAGAAATCGTTTTAGAAGTCTCTACAAGTCTTTTTTTCGAAATAAAAAAGGAGTAAAAAAGAAAAGCACGAAGCACATTTCCTAGGACAAAGCCCCGCTGGCGTTCCTCGCAGCCCGCTGCAAGTTCACTGCGCTGACATGCTGGCTATGCGTGGTATGACTCGTATGTAAACGAGCTTCCTCTTCCCAGCGGGAGCGCGCGCCGAGCATGCGCACTAAATCCCCGGGGCTCTGCAAATGTCAGGGATATTTTCTGCACAAGATCAGCCTCTAAATGTATTAAGTGTTTGAAAGAAAAAGAGGAGGTGGAGAGTCTGTACGGAGGGGCCGTAGTGGAGCTGCTCTTGACAGGAAGCAGCCCTGCCACTGCAAAACCGTAGGAGGGAAAAGAAAACCCAGGAAGTTTGTTTTTCAGGAGCTGAGTAAAAAGAAAAAAATCCATCATGGAAACAAACTTCCATGGAATTTAACTCTGATGTAACTTCGCTTTTGGATTTCAGAAACACAAAGTGTTTGCTGTGGTACGTATACCACACATATTTTATAAGGTTTCTTTTTTTTTTTTCTTTTTAAACTTGTTTTATAATGTTCATTTACACACTTTATCTGTGTATTTAAAATTTTGGTGTTAATATTACATGTAACTTCTCTCATAATTTTCAGAATAACTCATTTGGACAGGGTAGGGACGGTATCACCTTTCCACAGTAGAGGAAACTGAGGCTCAGAGGGATTAAATGACTGGCTCATGACCCCCAAAACTATTGGTAGAACTACTTTTCGAGTGTTTTTTTTCCCCCTATTATATATAACCCTCTAAAAAACAGGGAAGGAGGAGGCAGAAAAGAGAGACTTAAGCAAATAAGACTGAGATATCAAAAACTGAAAGCCTATTTTAAATGATGGGAGGGGAAGTAAAATTACTTTCATTTGGCACATATGAAAGCTATGTCATCTGTGTATTAGAGGCATGGTGCCATGATGCTCCTTATTGGAAGGACTTGGGGCTTAAACTTTGCCTCTCCCATATCTAGCACAGCAAGTAGGTGCCCCAAAAGCTTTTCACTGAATGAGTGGATGACTGAATGTTCAGTCTTAAGCATGTGAAGAACACACCGACAAAACGGCAGGGGTAGGGTGGGGTGTTGATCTCTACAGATATCAGCTAGATTTTAGCACCATAATTAATAGACTTATAATTTACCATATTAGTGTTTCTATACTGACATTCTGTATGTTACTTAGAGATTCTGAAATATCAAGGGGTATGTATACTGTAGACCAAGACCTGAAATTTTAATACTCTGAAATACGATTTTAATACATAATTCCAAGGGATTATATGTTAGAAATTCAGCAATGGTTGCATTTGGGGTAATACGCCTATTCTTGGCAAGATGTCCTAATCATATCTTATCTGGAGATTAATACAATACTCAAATACGGTAGCCATCATTGCTGCAAGAAGTCATTAGGCTAGCAGCAGAAAAATCAAGTTTTCACAAGTTTTAATTTATAAGGATATTTACTAATGCTAGATTACATACATAGTCTAGATACTGAATAAACTATATTGAAAGATATGTATACCATTAATTATAATTAAAATACTAAACGGTATTTAGTGGGAAGGTTGGAAGAATACTTATAGCATCTAGTATACACAAGATTATTGCACTTATAACAGTCTTACTACCTTTAAGTATAGGATTCAAATTCAGCTGATAGGTTTGGAGTATAATCACTGTGCTGTGTTCTTTGACATAAATTTTCAATCAGAAAACATTAGGAGTCATTAGCATATCCCCTATGGGAGAGAGTTGGCTGCACACTGGAACCAGGGCAGAGCTATTAAAAATCCTGCTGCTGATGCTGCATCCCAAACTAATCTGAGGGGCTAGGACTCAGCATTAGTACCTTTTAGAGATCTAGGGGATTCTAATATGCAGTCAAGGTTAAGAACCTTATCTGCCCTTAGGTACTTCATGTTATATGCTTATTTTGAAGTTTTCTTTTTAAAATATTGTGATTTAACCAGATTCAAACAATACAGTTATAAAGATATGCGTAAAATATTTAGTAGCTTCCCTTTCATGCCTCAGTTATCACTTACAATGTGGTTCTCAGCCTCCAAGAGGCAATCATCTCTGTTGAACAGTCCCACGAGCACACCTTGACTTGTGTTTGGAATGATCTGTGGTAAAATTCTCAGCTCTTAGCCACGTCTTTCCCATAGATCTGGGATGCTAATGTGGTGCTACTTGAGTGCGGTTCGCAGAGGGGTTTAAGAACTGGTTGTAACTACCCACAAGAAATAGATACCAAAAAAAGAGTGAACATTTCAAAACTTTTATAGCAATTTGATAGTGTAATTTAGGTCTCCTAAATCTTAATTTTAAAAAATTGAGGGTTGTATTTTTTCATGGTTCTACTTAGTGAGTTTTGTTACATTTTACAAAGTATCAATCACCAATAAGGTCTGGGGTGAGGGAAAAGCTGGTCATTCACCCAGTCTGAGAAACCTTGGAGGATGGCTAGCTACAACAGGCAGACTCCGCAGTACAGTAAACGCTCTCCACAACTTGTACCTAGGTCCATCCCAGCTCCTTACATCTTACACCTACACTTCAAGCACATTGAACTGTTTACAGTTACCCTTAAAAACCACATTATTTCACTTCTCAGTGCATGTTCTCTCTGTGAAAGACTTTTCCAGCCTGTCTACCCAGCAAACATCCATTTGTCCCTCAAGACCAGGCATATACCTCTCTAGTCCTGTAAGACTCCCAACCTTCCATCTCCTCACCCTGCTCTATACCACCATGCTTCTATTCCAACCAAGTCTAGGCTTTAAGAACAAGGGGCCTTCTTCACCTTTGCAAGGTCACTATGGCATAAGCCTGGCACCTAGTAGGCCATCGACAAATACTTGTTGAACGAAATCAGTAAGATTAAAAATTCTCAAAGGCAGATTCTCCATTCTCCCTTCGACCTTTCCTCTCCTCCTAGTACACAGTGAATTACCTAACTTGACATTTCTCAAACTGAATTCTGTCAACATCTTTTGGGGACCACCTCACATTTGAGGAACACTCATCTAGATTCTGATTACACTTCAGGTTACAATCAAAACATTCATTTTAAAAATCCTAATACTGGAAAATGTCAATGCTTCTCCAGTTTATTCAGAAGCTAATATAGTCATAAAGTACCAAAAGGATTGCTTTTCATTGGAAATATGGTGCTAAATTTTATCCATAAAGTCAGGTAGAAAAATCTATTGTTTTAAGAATAAAGAAATTTTCTGAAAATCTGAGCTATCAGATATTTGAAACACAAAGCAAAGAACGTTTTTGGAGTGAAACTGGGTACAGAATAAGTAACACTAAACAGATACTGTCATCAAGTTAAGTTTTTAGTGAAAAAACTTTAAAAACCATAACAATATTTTAAGACTAACTAATTTGGAATAGGAACACATTTTTCTAAGCCTGGGGGAAAAAAAAAAACTTAAACCAAAAAAAAAGGCACAGAGAAAAACACTGAAGAATTTAACTTAATATACAAATTTTATGTTTTTGCAAAACAAAACAGATGAATATATTTGTAATATATATTAGGGTAGATGAAGGATAAATGTTCTTGATATATAAAGAACATGAGAAAGAAATGAATGGTCAATACAGTTTTGAAAAACTATTCAACCTCATTAATAAATTTAAAAACTTTTAAATTATTTTCCATCTGCCAAATTAACAAAACAAGACTTTTTTTTCTCTTATTTAATGCTGGTGAGGTGAGATGCCACTGGAATGTGTTCACTGCTAGTAAAGTGTAAACAGATAATGCCTTTCTACAAAGTAGTGTGGCATTCACATTAAGCTTTTTGTCGTGTCAAAAATGTTTGCATCCTTTTCCTTACACTGGGCTCTACTTCTAGAACTCTGTCTTGTGAAAATAGTATTTGGTCGAATATTATAAAGCATAAAGATGCTTTTCATCCTTCTATTTATAATAACGAAAACTTGAAAACTTAAAAGTCCAAAAATAAGGGAATGCCTTAAAACTGTGCTATATCAATGACAGAATATCATACAGCCTAATTCCTTCAAAAATATATAATGACATGAGGAAATGCTATACTATGTACTACATAACAGTACTACATATGTTAACCGAAAACAGTAAAAATAGGATATAAAATATGTATGCGCTACACCAATTTTGCTTAAATGAATATATATGCATATACAGAAAAAGTATACACATGTATTAAAAAGACTAGAAAGAATACCAAAATGTTGACAGAGCCTATCTTTGGGTGGTGGGCATTTTTGACATTTTTCTGTACTTTTAACTTACCTATAAAGAGTACATTTCTTATAAAATCAAGGTGAAGGTAAAGAAAGTTCTCTCACTTTTCAAAAAGCAGGCACATAATGAGAAAATATGCCCTCATAAGGCATAAGCAATGGATCACATATATCTTATTTTTAAACACCATGATATGGCCTTTGGATTTAGATCTAACAACTGAAGATAGTAAAATTCCAAACATCTATTTAGACCTTCGCAGAAGTTGAACATGTCTATGCTGAGGTATCTATCTGTCTCAAAG